ATAACTTTAAATATATACTGCAATCTTTAATATACAAGAGTTAGCTGATTAATCTAAATAAATTAAAAAAAAATTATTTGAATTAGTTATTTGTAATAAATAGGTGTTGTCTTTCTTAAAATACTTTTACTAATTATGTATATTAGCTAGAATTATTATTTAATGAACCATATAATATGTGCAACTACTACAAAAATTATCTTAAAAAATAGATAAATATGAGTGACAAAATATATTAAAATCTTATATTTAGGATCAAATTAAATATTAAATTAACTATTATATTAAGAATAGGAGTTAGTATGTACACACACGTATCATAGTCCAATGTCCTATTCATGCGTTATGCATACGTGATGTTTACGTAGCCATTGCTTGGATTAGAAAACAAGAAAAAAAGAATTAGGATAAACTACAAATTAATAAAAACAGTTTCAATATTTCACCCTATATATGTGGAGAGACACACACACGTACGTAAGTATTCCTTGATAATTTAGTATTCGTCTTCAAAAACTTATAGGGAAAATCACAAATAAAGACCCCCTAATTATCAAAATTATGTAGAGGTCACCTGAATAAGTAAAGATTATCATAAGGGTCCCAGTCCCATATTGCAAATATGAAATCTTGGTGAAATATCTGAAATGGCCATCAGTCAAATGACAAATTGACTATAAAAAATGACAAGTTCACTTTAACGAATAACAATTTCAATAGACCAAATCACAACTTGGTTGAAAATATGCTAAATGACAAGTTGATTATGGGAAATAACAAATTTACTTTAGCGAATAACAACTTTAGTAGACCAAATCATAACATGAATGAGGGGCATTTCAGACATTTTGTCAAGATTTCATATTTGCAATATGAGACTGGGTTCTTCATGGTAATTTTGCTTATTTAGGTAACCAATACATAATTTTGATAATTTCAGGGTATTTATTTGTTATTTTCCCAAACTTATAAGCCCGCCAAACTAAACTTCTTCGTATTATCAAAGCATAGCTTTCAGAGCCGTACAGGCCGAATCTTTTCTATTATTTTCTTCTTTATTTTCAATTTTGGGTTTCTTTGATCTCAGATAAAATAAGTATAAGAAAAGTCATATGAGAACAGTGAGTATTATTTACTTTAACAATAATTATAATAGTGAAATTAATCTCATCTTCCTGAAAAAACAAAGGAAAGAAAAGGTAGACACTAAACAAGATAAAACTACGAGAGTTCTTCTGAGATACTAATTCCATAATATATATATATATATATATATGTTTATAAATTATAATTGAATAGACCAACTCCTTTTTTATTTTCATCTTGTAATAATTAAAATATATGTTTATAAGAGTGAATGACCATTTACTATTTAAAAAATTAATATATCAAAATAAATACAATCTACATATAACATTAAAAATAAATTAATTTAGCGATTCAATCATTTATTATGGAATTAATATATGAACTGTTTTGGGAGCTATGGCTCTGCTAATCTGGTGATTGGTAATTGCAAAGTAGGTACATCATAGTCTAATTACAAGGATCTGATAAATTTTTATACATAAAAGGTATTAGTACTTTGTAAATTTTGTAATCAGACTTTAATTTATGTTCTTCTCACTCGTAATATTTTCAATGGAAGACTTTTGTCAATTTTTGCAGCTTTAATTTTGGGTTTTTGATCCCTAAGGTCTTTGGGTCAAAAAGCAAACCAAGATTAGAATAGTTAACAAGCACTATTACTGGATGGATGATGGATTGACAAATAAATATCCTGCTAACTTGATTTCCAAGCACTTTAGAACACTCAGCCCCCTACACATTGAATTATGTTGGAGGAATTTAAAGGTACTATCAAAGTTTAGGATGGCTACGATCAAATTTTAAAAGAATGTAATATATTTTTTAATTCAATGATAATCTTTTAACATTTTTTACAAATTTTAATATTAATGTAAACATTATAAAATTTATCTCTCCATCTCAATTCTAATCCCTACAATTTTTATTATAAGATACAAATATTACAATCAATTTTAAAGGTAGTATACATGTAAAAATATAACTTATTTTTCAAAAGTGCCTTTTTTATGGAGAGGGGGGAGCCTAAGAGAGAAAATGAATAAAATAGTTAATTAATGCAGCGAGACTGACCAATAATTAATGGGAACAAAAATTAAAAATTGATGTTAAAAATTTTAGCCTTACTTAGTTTCTCTTATAAATTAGAATGTTATCTCTGAAAAAAAAATCCTATATATAAGGCTTGAGGCAGTATTATTTTATATTTCTGGTCTTGTTTAAAAGTTGTTGTTTTAGGGTTTCAATGATCAATTTATTTTTGTTCCAACTATTTCTTAAATTAAAAAGATCTTTTCATTTTTTTCATGTAATGAAATAGAAATGTTTTTATCAAGATTCAATTGACAAGCAGTGTGAAAAGATTGAAATTCTACCAACATGACTTTTAACCATGGGGGATATTCACTCCCCCTTTGTGTTTAATTAAAGAGAAAATTATGTTCGAGAATTCATATCATATAACATACGATTTTAAAAGTCGTAATTATCTTTAAGAATCATTTACTATTAAATATTAAAATATTTAACATTAGACCTTAAGAAAACCAGTATTAAATTTTAAAAAAGTTATAGTTCTAAATAGCTAACTTAAAAAATTAGTAAAATGTGGGGAAATGGAAACCAATTCCGATGAATATATCGTACAAATTATAATAACATGATAAATAAATAATTGAATTAATGAGGCCTTTTCATGTAATGAAATAGAAATGTTTTTATCAAGACTAGTTTAATTGACAAGAAGGGTGAAAAGACTGACCATGAAAGCCTCCTAACTTGATTTACAAGCCCTACAATCTCTAGTCTTTAACATAAGAGCTAATTGACTCATTTGAGTAGATTAAAAAAATTAGTTATGTTAGTTATTTGTAATAAATAGATGTCCTTTTTTTCAAAAATATCATTGCTAATCAAGTGTATTGACTAGAACTATAATTTTTTTTTTTTGTGAATAAAAGTTTAGATAGTTGGGTTCTGGGTGCTTACTAGGGCTACCAACAAAATCTTCATATTAGCAACAAGATTCAAACTCATGACTTTGTGGATTATAAGCCGACTCATTACCAATCAGACCAACTCTTATTGGTGACTAGAACTATCATTATTACAAGAACTACCTTGAATAAAAAACTGGATAAATATGAAAAATAAAATGAATTAGGATCTTATATTTAAAATCAAAATAAAAATTAAACGAGTTGTTATTTAAAATTAGGCTTTAGCATTTTTGATTCCATCAAATGTTGGAGGGAGTAGTTGGGGATTCTTGAAAGTATGATGAAATATCAAATATCTAAAGTGCCCTTTGGATTTTGGTCAAAGCATATAAACATTATGTTATAATCTAAAAACATTTTAAATATATTGTATTGTTAGAATAAAGGGAGAATTACAATCAAACCCCACAAAAGAAAAATAATTACTAAAAAGTCCCAATAACAATCTGAACAGCCTGTAATAACAAGTTCTACGGTGGAGAATAACAACCTCTAGGACTTGTTTTATTATTGTTTTCTTTCATGGGACTTGATTGTAATTCTCTCTAGAATAAACTATTCTTATAAATTAAGAAAGTTCAAATTGAAAATATTTGACTTTAACAACAATTTATACTAATGTAATGAATTTACATGATGAGATCGTATTTTAAAGAGGGAAGAAACTTAAAAAAAATTTCATCTTTGTTTAGTCAACGTCAATTTGATTTATTCTTATTTTAAAAATCGTTAATTTCTCCGTCAACAGAGATATTTATGTAGAATTTTAAGGTGTAAGAAGAAACATAACTGCTTTGCGAAATGAATCTTGTTTTTCTTTGGCATGTGATCTGAATTATAATTTTCAACTTATCATCCGCACCTCCAACTTCTTGTTTTGTTTTCTTTGGAAGAATGATGGCCATTGGTCATGTTTTTCAACAAAAGGCATGTAATTTATTGATTAATATACTATCTCTGGTCCTAATTATAAAACATCATTTGTAATCTACAGACGATATCTTATAATTAGAACTGGAGGTAGTAATAATTATATCTATACTTTAAATACAGTAATAACTAAAATACATATAAAATAATATATAGATACAGCATGAGAGGGAGAGGATGAGATGCAAACATTGATGAAGCAAATAGCAAGAAGAACTAACGAGATGAGACATATAAATAGGATTCGCCAATAGCCTTGTAATTTAATACCATGAAAGATCTATTGTAAATTGAAGGTTACAGGTTCAATTTTACTTGTAATCAGGGGAAAAAAAGATAGGTTTGCAAATTCTTTTAGATATAAGAATATTCTAGTCAAGACAGGACAAAAATATACCCTACCATCCAATACCCATTTGACCGAAGGGTTAGCTTCCTAGAAAATTTTACTAACCAGGTAAAAGGAAGGGAGCAATATCCCTTTCATTCTCTCCCTTCCATTTTTCTTGTACTTAACAGTGTGTTAAGGTTTTTGTTTGTCTGTAACTCTTAGATGCATCACGTAGGAAAAACATCAGCGAACGAGAATTCCTTCAACTTAGGTGTACACAGGCTCTCACTTATATTCCATATTCCAATTTTGACCTGGGACTTTAAGCCTGGGAATCAGTGAATGGCATTGACGTCTCTTTAATATTAATGAAATGCTCTTTCACAAGTATAAACTTCCATTATGTAGATCTTGGTCCATAAAAGATTAAAGAGTTCGCCTACCGCAAACACTAACACACAAAACAAACCTGAGCAGTAATTGGACCAACAGCTCCAAAAAGGTCAAAGTTTTTTCAGAGAGAGGGAGCCTCAAAAACATATTAGTCAAGAATATCTCAGTCATATCGCATCGCTAATGTACAATTCAATCAATTAGAAGAAATTAAATTATGAATCGAACTAGCTAAACCAGTATGGCATATGGAATGCTACTTTTCACTTAATTTTAGCTATTATACTAGTAAGGAAGTAGGTTGCAAGAAGGACCTATCAGAACGTTCTCCCAAAAGCAATACATTAGATTGAACAAAGCATTAGTTTTAGCTATTATACTAGTATGGAAGTAGGTTGCAAGAAGGATCTATCAGAACTTTCTCCCAAAAGCAATACATTAGATTGAACAAAGCATTGTTACTTGAGGGCTTGAGGCTAAAATTAAAGGGAGGTCAAAGATACAGGGCTTCATATCTGGTACAAAATTGGATGGCCGCTTGCGCACTCCTCATGAGAGGCATTTGAGTCTTGCAAATGTCAAATAGCCTGTGTGACCTCTTGCTTCACCATTAGGCCTGGCCATAACAGTAGAAACACTACTGCTACTGCTAAGCACATTGCTTCCATCAGAACATTGCCTTCTCTTGCAGGGAAGAGAACCATTGGCAACGTTCCCTTCTCCGGCATTCCCATCCATTCTCTCTTCCCGAATTTCATATGTGCGTAGGAGCACCTCAAATGTCCTTATATCTATGCATGTGCCAAAAGAATGCATACCAGTTAAATAGATTCTTTTACACTCACACTCACAAAAAGAAGGAAAGAAAGAAAGAAAGAACACAAAGGTACCTGTGAAGCTGGTTTGAAGTGTTTCGCATGATCGTTGTACTTGTTCAATACATGGGGAGAATGAGCACAGAGTTCCATCCTGTTTTAACATTTTTGCAGCTGAAGGAATGGCTAGCCAAGGTTGGGGTAGATCGAGAAATACAGCATCAGCTAAACCAGCGAATTCATCAGGAAATCCCTCGCCCTGGATGTCTCTCACATTCACACTGATCAAGGTGCTCAGACCTGTCCTCTCAAAATCTTCCCTAAAATGAGATCAGGACCAGGTTAACAAATGACCCAAAATTGTAAATTTATCACAATCTAAACCGTATAAAACAAAGAATAGTAATGTAAATTTCTCGCTCTCTCTCACCCACACACACAGACAGACTCTCTCTGTAACCATCAAATGCTTTTTAAAATCGTGTTGTGGAGTTCTCACAGAAGCAAGTGCCGTTAAAATAACAGAGTTGCTCGATCAACTAGCAGAGAGGCATATAATTGTTTGTTTCAAGAAACATACCACATAGCTAAGGTAATAAAGCAAACAAGTGGACCTGTAAAAGATAAGAACATATACGCCAAGTATCCAATAAGATGAGAGCAATTTCTGAATTAAGAATCTGAATATTATCTTTTTGGTTACCTAGCTGAGGCAGCTCTTTGTTCATGGAAATCAAACGTATAGACATGTCCTGCAGGAGCAACGGCCCTGGCAAGAGAAGTGGTCAAAGATCCACTTCCAGTTCCAGATTCCATAACCAAGCAACCAGGAACAATCTCCAAGTACATGATCACAAAGCTAATATCAGCAATATAGAGAATCTGAGTCCTATGGTTTAATACAAGAGTCCATAGCTCTGGAGTAGGAGCCAACAAGTATACAAAACCACCCTTGTTACTGAACACCTTGGAACCAAAAGGCTTTCCTATCCAGTCGGAATGTTTGAAAACTCCGAAACGATTCTGGAGGACAGAATTTTCAGACACCGTCACAGGCTTCATGGTGTCATGCCTCTCATAAACAATAACCAAATCGCCATTACTAATGAATCGATTGAAAGATAGCTTGTTAGCAGGATTACAAGCCAACATATTAGAATTCTTCAAATTCTTCAGCGAGGTCCCAAAAGAATAAATCGGCTGTCAGAAAATAAACAACAGAGGAAACCAATGAAATAACTGATTTGTGATGTAGAATATAATCTCCAAAGTTATGTGGAATTCCGACGAAGGCACGAAGCGATTCGGAGAACGAAGAAGCAGAACGAAGAGGGGTATAGAAGAAATCCTTGATAGGAGAAATTTATTTTGAATAAGTTAGAGAGTGCTCTGCATTCCCTTGAAAGTCTAAGTAGGGCAAAGCAAGGAACAATAATAACGGTCACTCCAACTTCTAAACCCTAGCACCATTAAACTCCGGAGTCCAGAGGAAGAAGAGGAAGCATGTTCTGACTTCTGCGGTTATCTCCTAAACGCACCGTTACTCTTTCCTCGATTTTATTTTCACGGCCCAACTCGACAAATATCTGGGCTAGATTAGATGCTTTGGCCCAAAATAAAAACGCTTGTTATTTGGGCCTCTTTAAGTCAACAGAGGGTTCGTACATGTTTGGGCTTCCATGGCCTCATCTCAAACAAATGAGCTTTAATCCATGCAGTAGCCGGGCTTTTGTTTATTCTTGAGCAATTGGGCTTCGCGTCTCCTTTAACCTTTTAGAAGAACAATAACTCCCTGATTGTTTTTGTATTTCTTGTGTGGGGAAATATCTTCTTTTGTTACTAGATTTCACTATTTCATGATGGGACGAGGAGAATATCAGATAATAAAATACCCACAAATTTCACTACTAAAACTAGTACAAAATTAAAAGGCAAATAAGTGACAATATTTTAAAAAAGAATATGAGGCATAATGGAGCATCCTGTCCTGCCTCGTCATCATTCCATTCCAAATATAATGCAAAAGCAGTATTTGAATCTCCTTAATTGATCTTTTTAATTGTCCACTACAAGAAGTCTTTTCGTCTTGATGTGTAGCCACAGTTTTACTCTTAGAGACTGATTGTTATAGGATTTTATCTCTTGAGTTATTGGAGGCTTTGATTTGGTTGCTGCTTAGAGGGTTTGAAGAACTTGTGTCTTGTGAACTTTTTCATAAATTGGTGTCTGGTGTGTGCTGTTATCTTATGTATGATCATCTATCTATACTTTATTTTTTTCATATAATATAATAGACTTTTTATTTTAAAAAATTGAGCTTCTCAAATTAAGTTTCAATTGGAAGTTATTAGTCATTATGATTGTAATCCAACGGTGTTGAGGAGGACTTAAAATTAAATACTTGTTTTTTGAAAGAAAAAAAAAAGGTAAATCCCCATTTAATTCCCTTATATCACACTTAATCGAGAAAATCTCAATTTAAAATATTCAAATTCAAAAAGTGAAATTTTTCAACTTTCAAGGAACAGTGTTTAAGAAAACAGTGCATTTCGATCGATGTTCTCAACATTGAGAGATGCCACAAATTTCAAAGATTGCCCAAGAAATTATGGAGGGGAGGGTCAAAAAGAAAGTGCATCATTTTTGTACCAAAACAAGAAAGTGCATTTTGATATTGTCCAACAAATTAAAGAGATACACCATAATTTTCAAAGATTGCCCTGCAAATCATCCAAGTTTGCCTCTCTTCACTTTTTGGTTGTCTCGCGTATATAAGGGTGCTTCGTACAAAACTATCATGGTGTCCAATAAGGCTTTCTGCAACATTTGTCAACCATTCCATGCCACTACTTCTCCTTCATCATCATTCCAGCTTATATATTCATAGGTTTTCTTTTTCAAACTGTAAAACGGATTTCGTTTCAGGCCCTTTTCCCACTTCTGTTATGATCTCATTATTAAGGTTTCAACATGCATCATTGCAGCACGTCGTACATTGAGAAATTTGCTTTTAAAAAAACAGGGGTGTTAAAATTCAAATTTACTTTAGAAGTTTTCGCTTGGGAGTGGTGGACACTTGAATTTTTTTTTTTTTGGGTGTGCAAATTTATTCTAAAAGTTTAAAATCATTATAATATTGTCATCCTATCGTTTAAAAAACTAACGTTGATCGTTAAAATAGTGACATTAATTGTTAACATCTTTAAGGATAAGAAGTAATATTGATACGATTTCAAACTTTCAAGATAAGTTTACACCTAAAAAAAAAAAAAAACTTCCTAATGCCCACCACTCATAATAAAACTTTCCTAGACAAATTTACACCCTTGACCCAAAAAACAATTCTAGAAATTTAATTTGGCTTCCTATCTCTTGATATGTGGATATCAAGCCCAACCGCCCTAATTTACAACTCTTGGTAGTATTTTGCAACTCGAAAAACAAATTGCAAATCACTTAGGTGGGAAAATTAATTACCAACAGAATTGATTATACGATGAGAAAACTTTCCTCTCAAATTGCAATTACTTGACACATGAATTCTAATCCAATATGATGAATGTGATATTCAAGCCATTTTTATCACAAACTACCCACTATTTGAATTACTCTTATTTTTATAATCTAATGATTAATTAAATTGGATTGGGATGGCATTTTTAAAAAAATAGAGGTTAATTGGACTGGGAAAACAAACATGGGAAAAAGAGACATTGAAGAGTGTATTCAAATATTGGCTAAAAAAATATTTCATTTATTCAAAATCTTAATGGATGGCAAAAAAAAAAACAGAGAAAAGTCTTAATGATGTCAACTTCAAGTGAAAAACTATTGCTAATTCTATCTTAAAACTAACACATTTCTCCCCCTCTAGAACAGTAGACCAAAATATTTTTTATTTATTCTGTTTAGGCATAACTGATCCACCTCACAAGAGTGAGAATATGGGGAAAAAAAGGCAGAAGAAAGAGAGAGGGAGATAGAGAGCCAATGTATTTGAGGGAGTATTCATTCATGATATGAAATAGTAGCAGTATATTCTCTATCTTATTTTTCTTTTAAATGATGACGGATAAGTTATTAACATTGAGAATATTTTTCAACCACTTATAAAATTTTAATCAAACAAAACATCTTGAATTTGGACAGCATCAAAATTTCAAACTTGATCTTTTATTTAGTTAAAAAAAAAGATTAAATACTAATCAATATAATATTAATTATTTAATTCAATCAAATATGTATATAGTTTCATTACATATCTCGATCCAAAAACGGATGATCTGAAATTCAACACATGCAATTCAATAATTGAACGATGGAGATGATTTAAATGCAATGTCGCCGTGTGAAAGATGAAATTGCATTATATTGTAAAGCCTCCTGGTTTTATTATTGTTGGTAGAAAGCAGCATGGACAAGATGTATAGTACTATCTCCGGTTCTTAATATAAAATCCTGTTTGATTTTTATTTTGGTCCTAAATATAAAATTCTAATCCATTTTGTCTTTAATATTTAATTAATTTTTTTTAAGATAGTCCTTCTAATAATTATAGTTCTAATCAATACACTTGATCAGTAAGGATATTTTAGGAAAGACAACACCTATTTAGAACAAATAACCAACTCAACTTATTTCCTTAATCTCCTCAAATTAGTCAACTGGCTCTTATAATTAGGACCAGAAGTAGTAATAGGAACGAAAAGGACAATGGAAATAACAAACGAGGAAGGAACATAATCAATTCTAAGTGTTGAATATTTGAATGGATTCATTAATTTCCCGGAAAGTTGAACGAAGAAACTGGAAACTGATGTGCGCATGCGTATATGAATGAACGTGGTATTGATTTCTACTTTCCTGGAAATGGCTCAGGCATACCATTTCACGTACATCAATTATCAGTATTCAAATTTCCAAGTCAATGCTTAGACTTTGACCAAATTCTATTTTATTCTCCCTCACACTGCTCTATCATCATTTTATAATTATCTTACACGAAACCACTTTCAATACACACACCGAGCTGCTTGAATCTTCTTTTCTTTTTGTTTTATTTTCTTGGAGGCCAGAAAATAATTGACAAAACCTCTCAGCAATATATAATGGCATGTTTTACACGGCAAGTCAGTCACGTATGGACATTTAAGAAAACTATTTTTAGTCAACATCGTAGCGTAATTATAAATGCTAATCAATTATAATGACCACATACACTGAAAAATAAATTTTATTTTTAAAAAAATTAAAATGTTTCAAATCTTAACAACATTATTAGCTGACTCCTTATTTCCACTCTAGGCATCAGGAGATTTTTATTATATTTTTAAAATCTAAACAAAATAGTTGGGTGTTGTTGTTGTTGATGGTAGTTTTTATGAGTAAACCAACCTTTGCATGGCATTAAATGGGCAAGTGGTGGGGAGGACCATAGAGTTATAAATGAAATCGAATTCACAACTTTTCACATGTAAAGAAATTTTTATGCCATTATATTATAAGGGTATTAATATAGATCTTTTCTTTTTAAATGCTGGCAATTTCCTTTTGATTTGTATCACATGATTTATTTATTTGAGAACTTAAATTTAAATGACTTTTTTTTCACTCTACTCCATAGAAACACCGCAGAAACCATAAATTCAGTAAAATAAACAGATGATTTGTGCTCTCGTCCCTAAATGAATATATAAAATAAGAACAGACATTTACTTTTAAATACTTATTTATATTTTCAAACTATTACTCATCCGATCCTTAATATAAAACATATTTAACTAATTTAATTAGATTAAAGAAGTTAAGTAAATTAGTTAATTATAAAAAAATATGACATATTTTTTCAAAATATCATAATCATCTTTTTAATATCCTCCCTTCCTCATATATTTGATTATAGTTAAGAGAATATCCGTAGAGGTAATTTAGAAATAATTGATAAATATAATAAATAGGCTTTATATTTAGGACTAAAATTAACTTAACAATTAGATTCTATATTAAGAACCAGAAGAATACTGCATTAGGCCTGGAAGGAGAATTGAAAAAGGATATTCCATAGTTCAAACCAAACAGGGCATGGATGGGGGAAGTGTTTGGAGTTTTTGTTTTGGTGTGGGGGTATTAGAGTATATTAACTAAAATTTAGGTGCCGTTAGTGTAATATACTCCTCAAAAAATAATAAAATAATAAATTTGTTTAGAAAATATATTAAAATCGTCGTCCATAAGTTTATTAAAAGATGAAGCAGTAGTTAACCACATGGAAAGAACCGGAAATTCAATGGTGGGTCATACATGTACGTACGGTTGGACGATTCAAGTAACAACTTTGGACTTAATCGTTTCTTCTGTTTTATCTTTTTTAGCCCTTTTATTTTTTTTAAAAAAAATATATTACACGCCAAATTAATCTTTGATATATTTGGATTTTTCTCCTC